GCATCAGGGCCCCTTTGTTTTACATTTGCGGGCTGCAAAGGCAACCTCAGCGAGAGCATCAGCAGCATCAGGGCCCCTTCGCTTTACATTAGAGCATCAGCAGCATCAAGGCCCCTTTGTTTTACATTTGGGGGGCGGTATAGGCAGGCTCAGCGGCCCCTTCGTTTTACACTTGGGGGCTGCAAAGGCAACCTCAGCGAGGCATCAGCAGCATTCAGGGCCCCTTCGTTTTACATTTGGGGGCTGCGAAGGCAACCTCAGCAAGAGCATCAGCAGCATCAGGGCCCCTTCGTTTTACATTTGGGCGCTGCGAAGGCAACCTCAGCGAGAGCATCAGCAGCATCCCTTGTTCCCTACTAAGCCCCAGTAAGCTTACTAGGTGAAAGAGATTCGCACCGCACCCTAAACGCTAAACCTCTACGCAGGCAGACATCCTGGGGCTCTTCCAGGACTGTGGCCACGTTGAGGAGGCGCTAGGGAATCCAAGAAGGCAATGCTAAGGGGGGGCTTGTCAAAACAGGGGGTGCTGTTGGGGAGTTCAGAGGCTCCCAATTGAAGATGGGGTCTAGTCCCTGGCTGCTATGTGTTGGGTGCGATTTTGGATTTAGAGATTCGAGTTGAGGGTTCCAGGCTCAGGAGGAAGACTGTTGAGGATGAGGGTGGAGCTGTGGCTTGAAATGTTTCAAGAAGGTGCCCTTGAAGCATATGTTTTTTGATGTTTCTAGTAATGAACAAGCAAAGACAGGATGGCCGTCTTCCTTCAAGACATGCAGCACAACGCCTGCGTTCATGGTCAAGATCGACTCATAATAGTAATACTAGTAATCATACCGTAATCTCTATAAACGTGATGAAAGGAAAAACCTATTTAAAGAAAAAACCACTCAATAGCAGCAACAAAATTGAACAAACTGCAACATGGAATTGCCCATCAACGTCTAGCAGTCGGTCCTAGCCACGGTACTAAATGGAAGTGAGGCCTTCATATGAGCTATAATGTGAACTCCTTAAAGGGGGTCATATAGCGGATTAAGGTTATAGAGGGTTTAGGGTTTAGGGTCTAAACGCCTTTACAGGGAGTTAAATAGGGGACTACTATAAGGGTTATTCAGGTGGGATGCTAGGCGTTTCGGCATCAGCTCATACAGATCCCTATATATTGTAATCCATATTATAAACACCCAAAATGGCACCCCCATTTTTTTGACATCCCCAGATCCTACACCACAAGCCCTCCCAGCTCTCCGACTTACTGCGCTAATATTTGGGCAGGTTCGCTTCCCAGGCCAACAGGAGGTGGGTGGAAAAGCTGTGAAGGCTCGGGCTTTCGATGCATTCCAAGGAAGTAGCTACGGACCCAAATAATAGGGCTCTAGGGCCCAGATACCATTAATCTTATAGTATTGAAGACCTAGAGCCCCATTATCTGTGTCCTTGGACCCTTAGGGGTAGAAACACTTCAGCCCACATTCCACTCCACATTGCGATCAAAGCAGTTCAGGCTGAGTTCTGCTCTGGGCTGGTCGAAAAGGAGTATATACAGAGATATGTTGAAGATAGTAACTGCCTGAAAGACCCACTAAGTACTAGCATCCTAGTGATTATCAAGTTCTGAACAGGACCTCTACTCAGAAAACAACCTCTCAGGTCCTGGCAAGCAAAAGTACGGTATAGCAACGAGGAAAGCGCCCCGACAAGCCACATGCGCAAGCTCGTATGTGGGCTTGTCAAAACCGCGGTCCCTTCTTGGCTACAGTACGGGGGCAGAATTTTGAAGACCTCCCGTATGATGGCAGCTTGAGCACAAATCCTTGTGAAGCGATGGACACTCCTGCAAAAAAGCACCTATCCATGCCGCGACCAGCGCTGTGCAAGCTATATGACCCACTATATGAGATTGTTTTTTGGTTCTTTATTACACTGGTTTTCAGCAAGTCCGCTGATTCGCACAAAGGCCTTAACCCCCATGTTAGTAACCTTGCATGCAGGGCATCGCCTTCGTGGTCTTTGACTCTGCAATGGCGGCGCGGCGCGCGGTGGGGCTTTCTGGAGAGATGTTCAAGGCGACCGAAAATGCCTGCCGGCCTACTGCCAGGAACGCAATAACCTATGTTAGTGCCAGAGTGACCGCACATCTCCCTTGCTTGTTTCTAACTACCAAGACATCACATCCCCCAAAGTAAGGAAAGGCCTACAGGCTGGAAACATATTCAGGCAAGGGAGGTGGCTTTGACTCCCTTAGCCCCATGTTGGTTACTCAAACTAGAGTCTGGTAATCAACACCAGCTTCACATTCATCATGCAGTTCCTGGATTTCGAACCCCACCCAACAAACAAACATCGCGGTCAATCCAGTGTGGGTAAGGGGAAACATGAGCTAAGTTGCTGAGGAAAATTCATTCGCAGGGAACAGCTCATGCTCTCCCTATGCCCTGAACCCTAAGCCGAATTGAAAGTCAGTTTCCAAGTGATGACAGCCAGAGAAGTCGGCTTGGTGCTCAGAGTTGTTCAGTGACGCATTGGTTCAGGCCAAGGTAAGCAGCTAGAGTATACAGGTAAGCGGAGTGCACAAGAATACTAACTTATGAGGCCTTCGCGCAAGATAGGCGGCAGTGTGCTTGTGCCAGATGTCTTGTCTGGCAACAAGCCCAGAACTTCCGAGACTATTTGTGCATTTTCAAAGTGCTGCTGCAGCCTAAAAAATTCGCGGAGGCTGCGAGCTGTCTGCGCACAGCAGGTAGTAGTTCAGCCCTTCGAAGGGAAGTTTAGTAATCTAATGCTGTAGGCCAGAACTCATCTTTATTCCTCTCCTGTGGGAATTTCCACCAGTGGCGGCCCTAATAGACTGTAGGGTGGACTTCCTGGTGTTGTCGGGATGTTGAATCCCGACAAGCTTGCCTATCCAGGGTCCTTAATGAAACCCTGAAGCAAGGCAAACTTCAAGCCACATAACCCCATACCCTGAAGCCCCAAAACAATGGGGGCCTCAAAAAATCAGGGATCCAACCTTTTTCATAAGGATTGCAGTATTTAGAGTGTCTATATTCTGGTCCCCGGATATACGGAAACTACCAGGTAAACCTACTCCGACCCCAGGCCCCAAACCCTAAACCCTAAACATTGAACCCATCACAGCAAGCGGACTCTTCAGGGAAGGAAGCTGAAGGTTGCTCCAGCTGGGGAGAAGCCCAAGGGAGGTGGTGACTTGAAGGTCAATGGCTTTTGGGGGTTTAGGTTTCAGGGTTTATGGTTTAGGTTTTGGGGTTTAGGGTTTTACCAACGTCATTGTTGTTTTCCGAAATGTGTTCACGAATAGCTTTGCGGACTTTAGAGTGCCACCCGCTTCACCTTTCTCAGAAGATGTTCATCGTTGTCATCTTCTGAAGACATCTTGCTTTTGGGATCGCTGGGTTGAAGGGGTTTGGGTCTGGGCGAGATCAGTGAGGGTGTTTGTCAGTTCCATTATCCCTATGATATAACCCCAATATACTGTAGCAGTTTCCATTTTCTTTTCCATTACCCCTATATAACCCAGTCAGTTCAGAAGGCTTAGGGTTGGGGTTCAAGCTCAAGAGCTGGCTTTGTGCCTCTTACATGGGAATCCTATAATTATTGGGATGAATAGAAAATGGAAATTACCATAATGGGGTTATATAGGGTTTAGGGTTTAGGCAGTAGTTCTGAGTTTATGTATGGGAGCTTTTGGCCCATGCTTCCAGGAAGATGTCTTTCCAGCAAAAGGCCTGCGCCATTTTAAGCTTCTGCTGCAAAATTGCAAAGTGCAGACTACAAATGGGTGGTTGTCAAAATTGTGGTCTTTTTTTGGATCCCTGTTATACTACGGCACCTTATGTTTAGGGTACCCATAAAGGGATCGTAATTTTGACAAGCACCCAAATGAAGGGTTCCTGCAGTTAGATTCAGTGCCAACTTGATCAGTCCAAGATGTTCAGGCCTGCTATATGGGCATTTACCAAAATTAAGGGGTACCCCAAAATAGATCCCAACACTTATTACAATCCTTTTTAGGCCCAGGCCCCCAAAAAGGTACCCCTAATTTGGGGATCTGCCCATATGTATCCGAGGCAAAGGCAAAGGCAAGGATGGCAAAGATGGACGAGATGGAGATGAGGAGCGAGCAACTGGGGAGTCCCAAAAGCTTAAACTTGGTAATTTTCGGGTTATATAGCCCCAATACAACTTATATTGGATTATATTAGGGTTATATTGGGGTTCTATTTGGATATTGGAAAATAGAATGGAAGCTATACTAGTCAGGGTTTAGGGTCCATGCAGTGTGTTTGTTCCCTGTGCCTGCATGGGGCCTACATGGACGGACCCACTGGGAGTTTGTTCCCGTTTCGATGGTCCCTTTCATGTTTGGATGAGCTCTGGTACGCTTACAAGATTGTTTTTCCCGAGTTACACCATGCGCAATCCGGTTCATTTCCCTTATGACCTCCAAAAATCCATAGAGATCCCAAAATTACCCCTGTTCCCAGACCTACCCCATACCCATAGTTGGGGTTGTAGGGCCCCTGGTTAGCAGTCGGCACATAGGCCTGAATAGAGGGTAGTCGAAGGTTCTAGGTTCTCAAAGAGATTCTCACAAGAGGATGGTCGCCGCAACGATGCGGGCTCACGGCAGTTCCTCCGAGACATGCTCGACGGCTCCTGGGCTTAGACTTCGCGCGCTTGGCACGCATGCGGGGCAACTCTAAAAATTAGCGAGGATCATAAGGGTTTTGGTGGAGGAAGCCTTCAATATTGGGGGCTCCGCATCGAACCGTCATTGAGGCTAACTTTTGGGGGGGACAACGTTAGGGCTAGGCATCCAAACGGGATTGAGGGGAGGTTTCAGGGGAGGAAGCCTTCAACGTTAGGGGCTATAAAGTATGTTAGGGCGGGAAGCTCTTAATGTTAAGGGCTAGGCTTCGAACATTCATCCTACAATCCGATGTGCTGCCAGAATGAAAAGGTAAATTCTTACGATGTGGGTACCTCATGTCATGTACCACCATGTTCACTTCAACCACGAAAGCGTAATGTTTGATGCTCCTCATGTATGCCCCCAAATCCTAGAAAGCGCAAAGATCTGAAAATCTCATACACGCTATACAACCCTAGCACAAGTACCGCCCCGTAAACCCCAAACCCCAAGCCTGGTAAATCCCCAAGCCTTAAGCCAGCAAAGGCAAGTGGGAACGGGGTGTAGCCCTTCCGTCGCTGAGCCCCGAGCGCCGCCCACCGCGTCGCGAAGTTCGAAGGTCCGGGTATACAAGCCTACCATATAGGAGCCTAAATGATTTCAAATCCTAATATGGAGGTCTGTTTAAGATACCTCATAGCGTAGTTATACACGGAATCTAGGACCATCATATTGGTATTTCATTACGCCCCTGCAGTACACCGGAGGGGAGGGCTCGGGGTTCTTTGGATTCGCGCTTCTGTCACAGGGGTCCCCTATACAGTTGCCTCCTAATTTGGGAATAGTCATACTTTTGGCAAACTCCGTTCGTAGAGGTCTATAGGGTTCGGGTCAAAAACAGGGCATGCAAGGAGACCCATCATGTTGATACTCCCTTGTGCAGAGAATTCTCACGAACTCACGCAGTAATTCCCGCTAGGAGGAAGCCCGGTAATTCCAGAGATTATTGTCACAGTCATCCGTGCCGCTATCATTCATTCGATACAATGATTACAGGTCACTCTATCGTGGTCGCTTCTACAGCATGGCTACTTGACGTCAAAACTTGTTTGTTTGTGCTTGTCATACTCTTATTGATTTTGTGACGCACAGGGGCTGTGACCGCAGTCGCAGCCGCAGCCGAAGTCGCAGCGACGACCGCGACAGCCTCACCCGGCGGCGCGATGAAAAGCGTCGTGAGGCCTCAATTCGAGTGTGCTGTGTTCTTCTACTTGAACTTTTGTTCACGCTCAAACCTAGCTGTTCTATGTGCTAACTAATGTGTGCAGAAGTTGTTTGTTTCCCCATGGGACGGGTGGGTCTTGCTTCATGCGTGTCCTAGCTGCAGGACTGAAATTACTGCAAGGAATTTTACAGTTTACAGCTGTTGTAAAGGCTCTTTTGGTGTTGAATGGGTGCGGGGGCAAAGGCTTTTGACTTGGGCACGTTGGGCCAACATGCGGAGAGTGGCATGTGGACACTTATCCAACTGAGTCCCTTTGGTTGCTGGCAGCACAAAACCGCTGCTATACATTAGGAGGACCCCCCACCCTGTAATAGCGGTACAATAGGAATATAGGAGGATCCCAATATAATCCTTTATGGTTACCATTACTGGGTGGGGGCTCCACCTAAGCTATACACAAGATGCACATGGAGGATGTTTAGGGTTTAGGTTCCATCGTGACACGCCCTTTTGCTGCACAGAGGGAGCCTATACTATACCTGCACGGAAAGGTGTATCAGATTCTTACAAGGCTTGAACGCAATCGTTTGACAATCGTTGCTGGTCAGGCAACCCAAGAAAACGGAAAGGTGTATCAGATTCTTACAAGGCTTGAACGCAATCGTTTGACAATCGTTGCTGGTCAGGCAACCCAAGAAAACCTTTGTATCGGACCCCTGCAGCCCTTTCAAAATTCAGCGTCCAGTCGAGCCCCTCATTGCGCTCCGCTTGCTACTTTCCCAGTCTCTAGAAATTCTGAAGTAGAGTTATGTGTTCGAGATAGGCTGCATGTAGATCAAAGACAGGCCTTCTTGCTATCCCTTTTTTAAATTGAGCTAGTCTCGAAATTCCGCAAAGGGTGTTATTTAGTGGATTTTACGGGGGAGTATGATAGAGGTTATGATAATGGGGGGCATACCGTGAGTTTAGACCAAATATCTGCACGATGCAGTCCCCGATCAGTATTCCCACACCTCAACCAGCAACTTCTGAGCAAAAGTTCGCTTTGCAACGTGAAGCGCAAATATCTGATCCTCCATGCATCATATTCTCTTCTTCCCTGTGGAACCCTTTTGTGAACAGCGCATAGCCTTCAACCCTTGCAAGGTGAATCGCAGAGTGCAAGATCGGCAGCGCCAGCAGGAAAGGTCGCGGGAGCGTGTGGCTTGGCTGATCAGCTAGAAAAATCAGTATGTGTCGTGATGACGCCAATAGGAACAAGAGTAACCAAGGTCATCGTGCCAATACCCATGGCAAGACAGCAAAGCACTTGCTTGTAGTACTGGTATAATGCATAATCGTGCTCCGGCTGCTGCTTCAAGTACTGTTTTCTTGTGCAGGCCCGCAAGACTGGGGATTTAGAGATTCAGAGCTTCCAGTATAGTGGGCTTTCCGAGTCTTGCTTCTTCTTCTTCTGAAATCCACACGGTTGTGCAGCCCTGCTAGTGAGGTGTAACATATTTCAGTCAAACATAGCTTTCCTTCTGGCCAAAAGTCTGCACAGGAGAAGGACAGGAAGGAAAGAATAAAAGAGAAGGATCAGAGGCTGAAAGAGAAGGAAGACAAGCAGCCAAAGAAAAAGGCCAAGAAGCCCGCCAAAAAACGTGCCTTGGAAGAATTAGCGTATGGGTTAAGTGGATCCCCCACCCGGCAATAGTAACTCTAAGGGATATAATGGGAACTATATTTGGGTCCTCTCATTCCTATTGTACCATTATTAGAGGGCGGGGCATCCACCCAATGTATGGGTCTCTGCCCGAAGTAGTGCATGGGTCCCTACTCTTACTACTGGATAATCAAGATTCCATGATGCATGCTCAAAATGACAGGCGGGACCTTAAGTAACGCCATTCCTGATTGTGCAATCCTGGTGATAATAGATAATATTGATATTGACAATATGAATGTTTAATGATAAGAGTAATGGTACTAGTAAGAATATGAACATTAGAAATAGTAGCAATAATAGCAATGATAGTAATCATGGTGATGGTAACTTAATAGTAGTCAGACCAAATCCAGTAGCTGTCAGGATGTCCTGAATTTGTGCGGCTTTAGCGCTTAGGATTTTTGTACGTCCATCCAGAACTTTCGGAGTCCTGGGTCCAGCCTGCCCATCAAGCAACGCAAATAGCGTCCAATCCTTTAAACCGTAGGCGCAGGTTGAAAGGTTCAGCTTCCAGACCTTCATGGGAGGCTTGCATGCGCATTGCAGGCAAATTGGCTGGAACATGGACGCAGCTACACAACACATGGGACAGCCCAGCCCTGCAAGCATGGCGCGATCTCCGCATGACGCAGAGCCCCTGACTCCCCTATTACACAACCCCCCAAGTAACCCTAAATAGCTGCTTTCATTTGCTTTTCCATTATCCCTATAGAACCCCTATAATACCCTATACGCCCCTACATAATCCCCATAAAGCCCATTCTTCTAGCCTCCATGTTCTTTTCCATTATCCCTATAGAACCCCTGAATAACATGAAGCGCCCAGGCAAGAAGAGCAGTTCAGACAGCAGTTGCTCGGCCGGCAGTCGAGCGCTTTCGTGCAGTCAGTAAGGTTTTCCAACTGCGGTCACATCATGCCCAAGGACTGGGGGGTTCGAAGCTTAGCCTAAGGGTCCAGGGACACAAATAACATATGTAGCTTTAGGGCCCAAAAACCAGTAATATTTGAGTATCGGGTGCCCATTATCTGGGTCCTGGGACCCTTAGGGTTAGCCAAGGTACCTCCAATATAGTTAGTATATAGATTTCCGCATGTGAATACGGGGCTCTGATATACGCCAGATGCCTCGTAGGCACCACCTGCCGCACCATTGTATCCTGCAATATGGGACCCTGCCCAGCTCTGAGGGTCCAAGTACCAAATAGTTATTAGAATTACCCCGAACCTGTACCATAACTTCCAACTAGTATTACCCAAAACCCAGGTGGCTAATTCTTGGGTACTTGGACCCTCTGCACAACTTCTGGAGTTCAGAAAAGAAGCTGCACAAATTCACACACCAGACCCTAGCCCTAAACACCTACACCCTGACCGGCCAACTCTAAGCTAAAGACCAAATCCAACGGCAACCCTTATAAACCCTAAACCTGTCTGCCGAGGCTCTCAAACCTCACATCACCCTGTAAACCTCCAGCTTCAATGCTTTGAACCATGTCCTTTTCCATTTGGTTTTCCTTCTCTCAGGAGGTCCCAAAGCCCAGCACCCCAAACTTAAAACCCTACTCAGGCGGTAGCAGCTCGAGCTCTGATCCGTCCAGCGCATAGCTGAGCCTCGAGCCGACCTCTGCTGCTTTGGCTGAAAAAATGGATTGCGGTGAAGGAACTTTAGCTTAAATTAAGTTACCACAAGGGGGGGGGGGGGTTCCTAATTTTTTTGGGCTGGGTCTTTTGTTACAGGTCCCCATCATAGGGAGTATGTAATCATGTATTTGGATCTATATTGGGAGGACCCTTGGAAGTTACCATTCCTGTATAGTCATATTTCTGCCTTTATAGTGGCTTAACTTCCTCAACAGCAGACCAAAAGCTGCGGGGCTTAGCGTTTAGCGCTTAGGGTCAGGATCGGGCTTTAGGCCATTTGGAGCTTAGAGTCCAGGGTCAACTAGGGCTTCTTGAACAGTGAGTCGATGTCATCCCCGTAGGTGCCTCTTATAACTATAGTTGAAACACACTTCAAAGTCCTATTCTACTTTTTCGGCTCCTCCATCAGCACACGCGCCCTTGGCTTCTGGTTCCTGATGCATTGGCAGAGCGTTCCTTCACCACACGAGCTTGAAAGTTGCTGCTCGTGCATACCACGGGCTTCTCATAAAAACCCAGTCCTCTTCAAAAGGTTCCAACACATAGAGCTGACCAACGTTACTCTGCGGCTTTGGTAGCTGAGTAGCTGGCTCTGTCTGGGAACCCATCCTTGCAGCCCGCGCTGGGAAACTGCAGGACTGGGCGGGCTAACGCCGCCGCCTACGTCCTACGGAGTTCTTGCAAACCTTGGACGAACACTGACACACACACACACACACACACCCACACACGCACAAGCTTAAGAATGCCGAGAGTTGGAAAGGCCACCGGACACTAGTTGAATGGAGACGCAGTTGTCAACTCAACGTCGTGTTTTGCAATAACTCGCACGAGACTGAGTGTTTCTCTTATAACTCAAAACCATCCCTAGACACTCCCGAATTGGGGGCCCCGTAATCCGCGTATAATCCGCGTATATCCATCCAGGGTCCTGGATTCTTCAGGATATTGGCTTCTTAGCTAGAAGCTTCCTGCTAGATAGGGCTAATGTGAGGAGCCTTGGAGCTGAGAGTATAGTCCCCCTTAAGTAGAGGGTTTAAGTATTAGGGTTTTATAGGGATAACGGAAAAGAAAATGCAAACTACGATTTAGTATGGAAGAATTTCTTGAGGGTCCCTAGGAACCGGCCTTCGATTCGACACTTATTGGGCTTGACATCGTGGTTTGGGGTCTCTATGAAAGTTTCTCTAAATGGGGTTTACACCTAGACCCTCCATGTGCCATCCATATACCCAAAATAGGGACCCACAACCCCTATTTAAAGGGTACTAGGAGGGTCCTGGCATCCTTGGGAGAATGTAGGGTTATACTGAAATGATAGGGCTCTCCTTTAGGATCCGATAGAACATCTTAGTGAACTCCCACATGACTCGAGGAGTTCGCACAAAAGACTATAGTTCAGGTTCCTGTGTTTGCGTTGTCCCTGTGGTTCAGATTCCCATAGTGGTTTCCCCATTCAGGGTTCCATAATGTAGGCAATTTCCCATATCAGCAGATTGCTCGTCAGAAATGATGTTCAAAGCCCACAACCATGATAAGTCTTATGCCTCTCTAAACCTTGTTTTGCCTATCTTTGCCAGCAGCTTCGACCTCAGCAGGCTCCACTATGCGCAACCAATTGCCCATGAATATCATGAAAAGCCAACGCAGCCAAGTGCGATGAGAGTAGCTGGTTAGCTACTGCCCTTGCTCCTGTCTACGCTTCTTTCAAGCGACATGTTTTTGTCCTAAGCATTGTTGTTTAAACGGTTTTCCCAATATTGTTCTGCAGCAACACCCTTCGAATCCCAATAGAAGTCTTGCGTTTTAATCCTCCCCCCGGTTATCGCCAGCAACATCGCAAGCGCCCGCCGCGAGCCGCTTCCCAAGTGCTGACCATGGCTCCCAAAAAGCGACCTGCTGCGGCGAAGGCTCCTTGTACAGCGTTATATGGGGCTTATATAGGGTTGTAGAAGGGATAAATAGGGTTGTTTGAGGTTGTATAAGGGAAATATGTGGTTTTTTAGGTGCATCAGAGATCAGGGTTTCGTAAGACAAAGGGCCCTCAGAGATTCTAGGCGCATGTTGGGATCATGAGGATATATCAGGGATCCTGTTCGGGGACTACATGAAGATTCTGTTTGACGAACTCCTGGTTTCTGGCATATCACATTGTGGCTTCTGTCTGTGGATGCCGCACAGGGTTTGCAGAGAAAGAGATACTTGGGACCCGTAGGGTAGGTGCTCCTTGTCCTGTAATGACTAACGAGTAAGATCCTCTGTAGGCTCAACTTTCCCTTGGGACGATCTCGTTGAGAGACGGCTTTTATAGAAACTAACTTCGAAATAGCCTAAACCCCAAATCTTAAACCTTAATCCCTAGATCCTATGAAGCCCAAACCCTACTAATCCCCGTTAAAGGATAGCAAGTCTTTCTAGAGGCCTTTGGGGCCTCAGTGTGACTTAGGGGGAGGTTAGCTTCATTCCTGATCCCTGCCTTTAAAGTGGAGGCCTCGACTGCGAAGAAGTCCAAGACTGAGGAGGACGCCAGAGTAGCCAGGGAGACAAAGGGTGACACTTATACATATGTATGTATATACATATATGTATATATATATATATGCGTATGTATCTTATCTATGGGTATAGGTATATATGTACATGTATGTACATACGCAGATTTTTCATTGTTTGGAATGTTTTGGGGCTTCGGGTTTGGGGTTTAGGATGGGTTCTGCAGGTGTAGATACATAGCAACAGCACAAGGTATTTTCCTATAAGGGAAGCAGCTCCACCTTGGGTAGAATCAGCGTCTTATTAAGGATCCCCGCAATTGCCTCAGAATCCCTGTATATCCTTGAACCCAGAACCCATATCCCTATAGGATGCCTCAACAACACTCCTCCCACTTTTGTAGCACTTTGATGTAAAGTGGGCAGGACCCGGAGGTACACTTTGCAGTCGCACCAGCCACGAAAGGTTTGATGGCTACGTTGCCAGAAGCTCGCCCAAAGCCACTCGGGACATAGCCAGGAAATTTGGGCTGAGCCGGGTTACGGCTAAATAGGACAAGCCATTCTACTTGCTGCAAGGAAGTGGTCTGTCACGCTTGCATCGCCATGAAGCTGCACTAACTGGAGTTTGTCTCGGTTCGTAGTCATCACATGGTTTTTCAGCTTTGCCGCACTTTCCACTGATCCTTCAGGGCCGGACTGTGACTTCACCTGAGAAGAACGATTCGCGCAACGACTCACTGGTCCATGTATCCGTCTAGTTTAGACTTGGGCCCTAAAATTGTGATATGACAACCCTTTTGTCCACTAAGTATATGCTATCTAGGTACCTGACTATCCAGGTCCATGGACCCTTCGAGTGATATCCAAACCTTGAACCTTCAGACTCCAACCTTGCTGTCCTACCTTGGCCACCCTGGGCGCTACTGGGGCGAGCCCAACATAGCTTGATGCTGTCAGGATGCTTGCAATGGAAGTCTTACGGGTTGGTTGTGTCAGTAGTACCCTAACTACAGCAGCCAGCATCATATGATCAGCCACACTCTCGTCACTATCCATGAAGCACCCAATGGAGTACGCCTAAGAACCCGCACAGAAAGCATGAGCCCTGACACTTCAAGCCCTCAGAAGTCATAAGCCAGTTCATCCAGGTCGGTGACCTTGCCCCTGAAGTCCACAGCCCTCGTTTGCATTGATTTCCAGCCTGTGGCTGAGCTTCGGGCTTGTGGTTCCAGGGCTTTTAGGGTGGATCTAGAGGCCTTGAGGCAGCCATCAAAGATTACTTCATGGGAAGTTCTGGAGAGAAGGTGGGGAATATCTAGTTCCCTGACTGTTGCCCCATGACACAGTACCCCAGATTACTTTGCTGTATGTAGGGCTTGCTTGCTTTTGCTCTGTGAGAGGAGTACCAGCAAGAAAGGTTCATGAACAGGCAAGAGAAATTCTGAGGGCGCTGCGGCCATCATCTTGAAACATGTGCAGCTATCCATGTGATTGAAGCAACATTAGTCCCTCAAAGCAGCAGGTCGGTGAATTTCTAAGTTGCTGGCCCAGAGTGCTCACGAAGTCGTTGATGACTGTTTTTTGACTTGTGCCAGGAAGGATTTCATGTCAGAGGGAGGCTTCGGGCATGCTGCTTGGCTGCAAATTGACCTTTACTTAGGGAAAGAAGCTTTAGCAAGTTCACTTATGGGTCCAACTCTTTTTGGCGATTTCACTGGCGTGGGAAGGTTCAGCCAGTTACTCTCGTTCCGGCTTGCATGGTTAGGCAAAGCATGACAAGGCAGATGCAGATGCCGAGTAGGGATTGGATATTTGTAGCTGCTGTGCTTGCCGTCGTCATGGCTGGGTAAGAGGTTTCCGAGAGCTACTAGTACAGTGGATGGCGGAAATCTTGCACCACCGTGCATACCTTCTATGCTGCCGAGTACAACACTTTTCGGGTTCCAAGAATGCATCCATCCACCCCATAGGGCGACCAGAAGCATTCCTGGGCCGGAGGCCTTGGGCAACGACGTGACAAAGCTGTCAGAGGAGTGCTTGCCAGGCGCATTGGGGCAACCAAACTATCATCTCAGTGGCTGTTTGTTCAAACACGGGGCCCAATTCACTTGCATAAATCTGAGATACGCATGATCCCCAAGAGAACCCAAGATGAGGCCACTAATTCATGTACCAGCAGTAGTATTTGTATCGGTGCAGGTATGACGCTCATAACATCCTACCCCGCCCTTTGCGTCATGCAAGATCTTTCAGCATGCGATATGACAGTGCATTCAAAGTGTGACTGTTCACAACACTTCTTTGCAGTTGCTTTGCGTGTAGCTGTGTGAAAACAACTGAACCCTCCAACCCTAAACCCTAATCCCTAAACCCCAATCCCTAATCCCTAAACCCTACAACCCTAATCCCTACACGCCCAGACATAATCCCTAAAGCTGACTGATGGCACCTTTCAGAATCCCTGTTTGTCTCGGGCCCGGTAGGGGCCCATTTTGCAAAACTCTGTGTTCTCTATGCTCCGTACTGGTCTTAAAAAAAGTGGTGTTTAAGGGAGGGGATACTGGCATTGCTAGAAGAGAAAGTATCCAGCCACAACGACCCTATACTCCCCACCCCAAACCCTAAACCCTAAGCCTAACCCTTATCCTAAGTCCATAAACCCAAAGAACCCTTCACACGCCTGGGATCCGCAGGAGCTCAGGTTTTGCTTGCTGCAGCCCGCGAAAAGAAGTTGCTGGTGATCCACACCAAGGAGGCCCAGCCCTTCCAGACATGCCAGGGACGTATGGGTTTAGGGGCAATGAAGAGAGCCTGAGTCGTAGAAACAAGGATACCTGCAATGCAATGATCTTTTGCTTGCGAGTCGTCGAAGCGTCCACAGCTCTACAGGCAAGCTTTGCCGTGCTAGATGGGGGTTTCCACAAATCAGGGATCGATTGAAATGGGTTCTTACAAGTAGCATTGCAGCTTTTTATGGCCCTCTCCTTACGGAAATCCCCGGATATTTCTATGTTTTTTCAGCTCCGCCCTTTTTGCATTGGCTGAGATGTCTGGCGCAGGCCGTCTTTTCACAGGTTTCTACAGTTAATTGAACATGTTATATTATATATATACATATACACACATTGCTCTGGAAGATGCCGCAACACCTAGTATAATTGTGCTCTTCTTCCCCACGTCTTGCAGCGGGAGTGTGTTGTGATGAATGTCTGGCCTGTGAGGAGTTGGCAGGAATGCTATGATGACGCTCCTTCTTGCTTGGCAGCATCCACGGCAACCAAAATCGCTAGCACTACCAAAAGCACGAGCACCATCAATACTACCAGCACCACCTGTATTCTCACGGTTCTGGCATCGGTGTCCAGCACAAGGGCCACCGAGACCATCAGCACTAGGAAGTTCCGAGCCCTACGACAGTTGTTAAGGGGCCGTCTCGCTCATTCCTGCATGCATGTTATATGCTCTGCGGGCGCTACTTGTGGCAAGCTTTACGGGAGGTGATGTTGAAGCCTGACAAATTTTCCAAGTACAATCTTTATGAAGTTAGTCATAGTGCAGTATGCCACACTTCCCCTAACCGGAGGCACACCGGGAGGATCTACGAGACTGCTGTGCTATGGGCTCAGAACAATGAAGGTTGTGAGTCTCTTTTCTGGGAAGGAGTCCTCGTCACACAGTGTGTGATACTAGCATTGCAGTCATTTAAGACAACGATCATATTCAGACACAACCTTGTAAACCACAGCACATGGCCAAGATGTTCTTTTGTGCATCACGCAGAAACCGTCACAAAGGGATGCTAGCGAATCCTGCTCAGGCAGTTTCTATGTGTTTGAGAGTTGCTGCTCCAGAGTTTTGAGCCCTGTCATTGTGCTTTTCACCAGATAGGTGCTCGGATTCGCCAAGTGAGCCACTATCCACATGAGGTTTTTTAAAGATCAGGGTTTGTGAGCTCATGTCGGGCTACCAGCGAAGATTGGGAATGAGTGCGTCGGTGCTATGTTGTGTGGCAAGGAAAAGGAGGGCTGCTTGGCACGTACGAGTGTTGGGCTCTGGACAAAAGGTCATCTCTGTGAAGCTCAGGCCTCATTTCTCCCGTCAATAGATACCTCTGGGAAAGCCATGATCATCGTGCGGAAGTATCTTGTGCCCTGAATGAGGCTTCAAGTGGAAGTTTGCTACGGGCTGGGGCGTCTTTGTGGTCTCGTTGCCGCCTGCATGCTGCAAGTGCAGCCCTAGCCATATCGGTCGGTAGTGAAAGAAACCATAGCACAGGGGCATGGAAAGAGGTCCTTGCTTTAAGCCATGTTCGCCATGTTTTTGTTAGCGTTGGACATTTTTGGATTGCCGACCATCGGCACTTGCTCCTCAAGGTCTAGTCCAAAAACTGCCAAGAGCGGCCAAAAGCTCGTTGATGCAAGGTAACTTCACATAGCTTCTGGAATGCCGTACTCATTCATGTTGGCAGACAATCCCGGTGCTGCGCTTTGGCAAGAGCATCCTCCCATACACTAAGGGCCACGGCATTGTAATCCTTATCTCTCTTGGGGCTTGCCGTTTACCTTGAATTTCTAGAGCAGGCCCTATATCCCTCAAATCGCTAGACCCCGAAGCACGTTGGTCATGTTGGTTGGGTGACCCCTGAATCTAAGAACTGCAGGACATGAAGCGCATTGGGCCACGTTGCCCGCCAGAGGGCAAGCGGATCGGCGAGGCTTGCTACGCGCTAAGGCTTCAAGGATTAGGTGCTATCTCGTTTTAAGTTTGGGTGTTCTTCGAAACCCGCAGCTGGCCCGAGTTTTTCATTCGGAGCCTCTGCCTGTAAAGGCAACAATGGTATCGGCTTGTCTGACACCACGGAAGTCTCCCCCAAGAACGTTGCTTCCTGCATCTTGCAATAACTTGCAAAGAAAAGTCTGGGGTCCCGATGCTAGAGTCTCCAGCAGATCTCTCTCTTATTCGGGCATCTATTCGGGAGGAACTCTTACTACAATTAGGTAATGTTTAGCTGAAAAGTCTGATCTGGGATGCGCTTGCTTCCTCGAGTACTGTGAGGGGCATGGGAGGCGAGGGTACTATTACTATTGCTATTACTTTTCCTATTACTATTACTATTTTATTTCTAATACTATAATATTACGATTGTTGCGGGTCAATGCGCGGGTGGGATGGATGCCAGAGGCTTGGCCTTTCTCAAGAGCGCTGATACTCACCATCCAGCGTGATTTGGACCCAGCCGTCTTCCTTCGTTTTGGTTATGATTTGCACAGCTATGGTGGTTGCTGTTGTTTGTGAGAATGCTCCTGCTGATCTTGATCGCGATTCATTGGGCCCAAACCCCGCTCTCCCACAACCCAATTTCCATTATATAACTCCAATATATACACCATTATATACTAGTTTCCATTATCCCTATATAACCCCTATATACGACTTTAAGTTGTAATTGTAAGCCCTGTGTCAAGGATAAAGGCTCCCAGGTCCTAAGACCTAAGAGCCAGCAGGAGAAGCATGACTTTCCCGCGCAATCGAATCCCTAGAAGAGACACCCCTCTTGTCCCATGTGTGTATGTATGTATCTATGTATGTATGTTTGTAAGTAAGTAAGTAAGTAAGTATGTATGTATGTATGTAGGCATGCAGGCAGGTAGGTAGGTATACGTTTGTATGTGGATACGTATGTAATCCAAGAATTGCGCCTCCCCAACAGAAACAGCTACTTAGCCCTAAGTGAGTCTCAGCTTTCCGAAAAAACTCCGGGCACGGCCCTGCAGCAACAGCCGTTCGTACACTTTTACTTGTTGTTCACTCAAAGCTCTTGATGGAGGAAATCTTGCACCACCTTAGCTCCCAAATGTCTTAGAAAGTGCTGTAGATTGGGGCCCCAGGTAGTGCAAGATTTCCTCCATCAACAGTAATTATGCTTCATGAACGACTGGATGTAGGAAAGCCCTCTGGATTCTAATCGGTTGGCCTACTTATTCTGAGTCAAGACCAGCTCTAAGCATTCATGAGCGAGATTTCCTTTCTAACGCTCGTGGCTCTGATTGCTGCGCGCCCGTCAGTTATCAAGGTCAGCTGAGCCTTTAATCCTGCGACCCCTGCCCCCTACGCGCTAAGCCACCAGAAAATGAAAGATTGGTGTCCTAAATAAGGCTCCAGGGCTCTAGTCTTTTGTAATTGGCCTGGAGCTTTTTAAACGGCCTCCAAAACATGTTATAACTAAAGGAGGCGCAACATTACAACTTGCCAGCGGTATAAACACCCTCCTTTCCTGGACAGAAAGGTCCTTCAGGAGGGCATGGGGCGCTTGCTCGTCGATGGGAACCTTGGCTTTGAGTATGAGTAGGTCGGGCATGTTAGCAGGCTAGTTGGTTAGGTTGCTCTTTGCCTAACGGAGCTTTCAAGGCAGTATCGATTGTGTCTCCCATAAATGTGAAGGATTCGGAGGTACAACATTTCCCCGCAGCCCATTGCTGGATTCCCAGGCTCACATTCGTGGAGGTGTTTGCAGAACGTAGAGGGGCATCTTCTGTTGCGAGACTGACTAGTCACGGGTGACGGTCTCATTTGGCACACTGACCCTTTAGGCAGCCATTCTAGGAAAGAACATGTCAGGGTGTGCGCAGCAAACGGACACACAATGACTGCATATCAGGGGCAAACGAAGGGGGGCGGCGCAAAGGTAGACCACCCCATGAGCCTTTGACAAGGTTCGTCTAAGGCTCCCCAACTTCGTCAAGCCCCCTTTTCCTTCGTCAAGGTTCGCCAAAGTTTCTGCGTGCTTGACAAGGTTCGTCAAGGGTGAGGTTGACCACCCATGAACCTTTGACAAAGTTCGTCCAAAGCCCCGCTCCTTCGTCAAACCCCCCTTTTCCTTCGTCAAGGTTCGTCACGGGTTCTGCTTGCTTGACAAGGTTCGTCAAGGGTGCTCTGGGGGTCCGCCCATCAGGGGGGGTCCCCTCAGTTTGCCCCCCAGCATATATCAAGCAGCATTTTTTGCGCAGTAGGAGCGGTAACTGTATGAGATGGATGACCCTTGAGTTTGAGTGACGATGTTGCTGACTGGAAACAAGAACACTCTCACCCTTCGCTGGAAAACTACGGCCATTTGTCAACAGCAAGTAAGGCAGACAACGCATACGAACCGGCAACCATACAGTCAGCATCGATGTTTTAAAGCGGGAGATGAGGTCACCTGGAAACGAGATTGTGGACGTGGTGAAGCCTGTTGCTCCTTGGCTGTCACCAAGTCTCTTCCTGCTCAAAGATTGGCCTCCCTTTGCAGCAATCCAAGATGCTTAGCGTCAAGATAGGACCAACACCTGAACCTGCTACGTGCGCAGGCACAAGACTTTTGATGCGCAGTCAAAATTGCCCCCAGGTCGCCGGGTACCTTGCAAACTTCTCTCTGCAACTTACCAAGTGCACGCGATCGTACGTGACTTCATCTCAATGGAAGCGTGTTGTGTAAGTGGGTACAGAGCAGATGCTGGTTTCCTGGCGGCCGCGGAATCGTTTCCAGATGGCACTGGATGTCATCGCAAGAGTCCGGCTTCCTGCGCCAAATCAGGCCTAAGCTTGCAGCCCTCGTCATCTTACATGATCCAGAGTCTAAACTCCTTAAAGGCAGAGGTTACTAAGAGGGAGACCAAGACTTTAGACTATAGCTCACATGTTTAGGCTGTAGATGCATCATGGGCGGGTGTTCTTTCCGCGTCCCGCGTGATTGGTACAAGTCATCAGCCAACCGCTCCTTTCAGCAGTTTCGGCCTGAGGCATCTCTCTGGGAATCCAAACCCCGGTACTATTTCTAGATTCTGGAGTTTCAGGCCCAAAGTGGGCATCACGTATAGACTTAGACCCCTAGACTTGGGGGCATAAAGTTGGGAAACTTTTTAGACCTATAGACCCTCAGGCTGTGCGTTAAGACCGCATCCCAGGAAGGCGAGGTGGTGCTTTGCAAGCCAGGCCGCCAGATTGAACGAAAGTTTCCGGAGTCGTTGCCAGCGTAAGGCGGTGGTAGGAGTAATAGTAGTTCGAAGAATAGCAAGAATAATAGTAAGAATAGTCGTATAGTTGGGCAGCAGCAGGAGTATTAGCCACCACTTTTACAAGTGTTTTCAAAGTCTGGATAACCAGGGACCAACCTGCAGCATCAGGCAAGGGCGCTTTATAGGGTTTAGAGATTTAGGGTTTAAGGGGATGCTTCGTCAGGCAAAGGCGCTTTCTTCATGACTGGCCTGAACCAACTGCTGCGGGAGCGGGGGATCAGCCACCTCATCTTCTGCGGGGTGACAACCGAGGCCTGGCTCTGGGCCTCGCTCCAATGAATTGGAATAGTAACAGTAATAATAATACTAGCAATAATGTTAGTAATAATCATGCTGATGATACTGATAGTAGCACTGGTAATAGTGTCATACGAGCTACAACAAGAATACTAGCTATCGGAACAAGAAAACTAACACCGGTGATAGCAGCCCAGCATGAAGCCCGGCAGATGATACGTTACCACCACTACAACTTGTATGATTACTATCACTATCACTAGTACTAGCACGACTATTCTTACTATTGCTACTTTGGAAGCATGTCCCTGCATGGCCTCCACATTAGCTTCAGCCTCGAGCAGGTATGCGTGCAGGTGACCATGCGTGAGGCGAACGATCGTGGCTACGAGTGCGTACTCGTTGAGGACCGCACCCAAAATGTGGTGATGTGGGTGTTCCTCAAATCAGGGGCCCGTAGTCTATCCTCCAATCAAGGTGGGAGAGGGAATGCCATGATTTCATAACCTTGGCACGGGGAAGTTCTGACGAAGTTCTGACGAAGTTTCTTCCTTGGTATAAAACCCTCCTGTGAAGCTGAGGTGCTTCTAGCCGAGGAACTTGAGATTGGGAAGGGCTTAAACCCTAGATGACCCCTAAATAACAGTTTGTATCATCCTGTGTAACCACTGTCTGTCATGTCCCCTTGGGAAGCGGTTCTCCCGCTTACTGGAGGGAACTCCAGTCAGGACGCCACCGCAAGCTACATTCCGAAGTTCAAGGCTCTCAGCTCATAGAGCTTGCGTTGCTTCCAATAATTCCATAGCACGTTCGGATGTACGAGGGGGGTGGGGATCTGTATAATATGATTTGGGTTATAAAGGGGCGGGGACTGTGATAATTAAGAGCAGTCAACTCCTATTAAGAAGTGGGCTATGATTGATGTTCTTGGTCCCCTGGTTCTTAGAGGAAGTTGAGAGAATTATGCCTATAGAAGCCCTTAGAACACTTGAATAGCACAAGAATTTTCATGTTCTTCTGCGAACAAGCAGCAAGATCATGATGTGGACACCCCCTAGACGTTAGACGGCTGGGTACAGGGTTTGGGGGTTCATAGAGCGGAACAACGGTCTGAGGCTGCAGGTAGCCAAACATCATGCTAGCTGCAATGCACAAATGCAGTGATAAGATATTGCTACAGTATAGACACAAGTCCAGTGAGCAAAAATCTGCAGAGGATACGCTGAATACAAATCTGTTGCAGCAGTATCTGCCTCCGGGTAGCAAGCAAATTGGCCACGACACTTTGATTGCCTGTTCTGCAAATGCTTCTTCCGCCGGATACCCCCAAAGCTAAATACCCCCAATTTTGCGAACATGAGGCACTTCTTCTGAACGTTGCAGAAACATTGTTGCCAAACATGACTTCTGAAATCCTTTCGGGTGCTTTTTCTGGAAAGCCATTATGACCACAGCCTGCCTTGGTACAAAACAACGAAAGTGAAATGAGACGCCTCGAGCAAGACTGTAAGTGGGCCGAGAGCAGCGACTTGATATGGTCAGGGAGGGCAATGAGACCATCGAGGTCTTGGTTGGAAGCTTAATTAGAACACTGGCTTTAGATGGGGATTCCCCAAAATTGGGGTTCCTGTTTTGCCGGTCCTTGTTATGGGGATTAATTATCGTCTCCTGGTTCATATACAGAGGACCCCTTTTAAAAGACATTTTGACATATCTCCAGCGGTTCCACCGCCATTTTATGAGGTCTGGTGCATCGGGGAACCCTCCACGACTAACGCTTCCCTAAACCCTAGAACTCCGCGTGTTCAGATGCCTGCAGGCCGCCGTCATCGAGATGGTCCGATCTCAGGGAGGGATTGTGGGCTATACCACAGAGAAATCGGAGGCCGGTTGGGAATGTGAGAAGAGGGCTTACATCATCAAGATATTAGGGCATGAAGCTAAGGTTGGGATGGTATAAAGCATGAGGATGCTCTGGTTGGCCCTGTCTTACCCCTGGAGGACGTTGCGAAGGCCTTGAAATCGGCAGCGTGACCTGAGGAAGAGGCGTTGCAGAATGGGCATTTGTCCCTTTTTGTTGGTCGAGCAATGTTGCACCTTTAGACGGCGGCTGTGACTGATGCGAAGGATGCAGGAACAGGCAAATTTTGGAGTGCCCTCGAGTTTGGAATGTAAAGGGCTCCGGGCTTGCTGTTTTGGGTTGTGAGAGTAGGGCTTGGGGTTTACCGGTCTAAACTTCATGCTACAATAACGGTGGCTTCCTCATCATCTTGCGGTATTTCTGGTCACTGGGCCTTAATTATCATACGAACAAATAGCTTTTTTGATGTCGCTGTTGGCACGGAAGTTGAACGCAGTGCATGCCTTGTAGAGTGTCTAGCATAAGATCACTGCACATGTTGGAACCTCACAAAGACGCACAGATGCTACTCAGGCTGCTCTGAGGCTTGCGTTTTTCGGATACAGAATGCCATGCTTAGCCGGGATGCTACAGATTGATTGGGGTCAGAAACAGCCTAGGGCACATGCCTCTAGCGAAAATTTCAGCAAGCTACGTGAAGACATCGACGACACCAACAACTCTTGAAACCCCGTTCATCAGCCCAGTCGCCCGGTCTTGCAGCAGAGTTCCCTCGTAAGAGTCAGTCCCTGAAGCAGGCCGCCGCCGCAAAGTTCTCATATGCAAGGGGCTCTTGCCTACACGCTCGAACTGCCTTATGTAGTCAGGCCTATGTACCCAGTATTGGGGACCTGGCAACTCCAACTAGGGGCACTGAGGGTCTTGGTCTAGTGCTGTGCGGGATGAGTGTTAGTTTGCGTCCAGAACATTTTGGGTGTCTCAAACTAAAGTGGCCTAGTGTAGGGGTGGTCAGGGATGTTTACCAGGACCCCCCTTACCTTCAAATAGGGGTAATGGCCCCTATTTGAGGCAAAAAGAGGGTAGATGGAGAGTTAGGTATGTGGTGACCCAAGTTTGTGACACAACCCTTGTGTGAACTCCTGGAGATCCCGAATCCCTCATGATTCCTGATGACGAGCCTCCGAAACTCTAGACCCTAAACCCTATTTTAAATCATCCCCGAACCACATGATGCCACTCTTTCCATGTGTGGGGTATTAGTGTTTGTTTTTGCAGAACTCTTTCCTCCAACTATTCAATACACCCCACCTGCCAATATTCAAGATGCTTTTTTTTTAGAGCCTACACACAATTGGGGCGGGGGGCGAGTTGAGCAAAAAGTCGTACAACCCAAATTCCCATGGCATTCTCCATGTTCTTTTTCTCCTGATTCTAAACTATTAGGGTATATCCCCAAACTTTACATATCTCTTTTTTTCAAAGCCCCCATATAACCCCTATGAAACAATTACATATCCCTTTGCAACACTGGCTTGGCAACTTGGCATCCACCTGCTTCGGGACATGCTGTTCAAAAGTAACATCCAAAAGTCTCCCGGGCCTATGACAGGAGACTGCGAGGTAGGTCAGAGCAAGCGCTTGCGGAGTGTCTCCGACCCTAAACCCTATACCCCTAAACCCTGAAGCTAGAAAAACTCCTCAACATGAAGCCTTCCCAACTTGCCACGGGTGGGTTTGAAAAAACATGTGGATTCTTCATTAGTACACGAAATCCTCTTTTTTCGTCCCTATAGAGCATTTAAGCAGTTTTTTCTTGTTCCGGTGCCCCTAACCTGCCCTAGTTGGGGGATGAAGACAACCAGCAAGTGCTTATTGTAGTCAGCTCTCCGCCCGGGATTTCCATGGAGGTTGGCATTGGGGGCGGGGGTGCAGGGGAGCTTTTCTAGTGAGTCTTGCAATGTTCTGCAACACGGAGATGTACTGGTTAGGCAGAAACAGTGGTAGGATTATCATAGGAATTCGAATATCATCACCGTTGTAACGGGTGGTAATTACTATAGTGAGTGAGAGCCCAACCTCAGAGATGTATCAGATCGCATGTCCGAGGCAAAGTTGGTTTGGCAGTTAGACCCGTCTCATCCCGCCAACGATCCCTCCATGGGACTATGCTTTTTTCCAATTCTACTGCTACGCATGCCGCATGCCCCACAAGAAGGCACCTTTGCGCCTCCTTGTCCGCAAGGGAAAAAAGCTGCAGTGGCTGTTTTGATGGTGTGCGCCTTCTGCAGCTTGTAGGAGCACGCTGGAGGAGAATCCATTACAATTCACGAGCTGATCAGCAGGTCGCATGTGATCATCGTCGCTCGCCAAGTCATGCCTGGTCAATGTCGGTTGGCATGTGCAGCAAGCAGTCTTCCCCCAGCCCCCCTGCAACTCCAGGAAATTGCGTAGCTTGACCCTCTCTGGCTGCGGCCGTTTTGTTGGTCAGCTTGGTCGTAGTATCCGACGCCACGGGCGGGCCTTGCGGGCCCCCTGACTGCAACTTCACTTATAACAGGGTTGGGTCAGCTCAACCCACAATTCCGACGTGTTAGAAGTATAATGAAGTATGTTTCGAATTGAGAGGCAAGGAACGCAAAAGATCCAAAGCTAAGCGAGGCGTGTGTCAAGTGCTGTCGCGTTGTAATGTTGGTGCTTCGCCTTGCCAGACACAACCAGGATTTTGATTGGAGACGATTTCCAGTGTTAGGAGCATGGTCATGCTGTCATGTGCAGTGTAGAAGCCCTCAATGAGGAAAGCTTGCTCAGCAAGATGAGTCCTTCCCCCATGTTGGGGATCCTAAATGCTGCAAGGTCTCCTTTAGGAGGTGTGCCGGGTAGAGCAGCGAGAATCATGGCAATCCGTACAGGATTTCGCTTTTCCATTATGCTTAAATGCAGAGACTGGGGCGCTGAGGGGTCAAAGGTTTGCGGGTCTCAGCAGAAGAAGGACTCAACAGCTTTTGTTCTGACCATTCACCCGCATGCCGAAGGCAGGTTTTACGGTGAGGTCATGGCATGAGTGGTATGATCTAGGCAACTCCTAACCCTAAACCCGCAAGCCCTAGGACGAACTACTCTAGACCTAAACCCTAAGCTAGGGCGGGCACTGTCCTGGCAGTGAACCTGCCTAAGACGGAGAGTGATGTATCTTCACTGAGTTCACGGTGGTAGTCCAGCGGCAGTATGATCTACCCCAAGGCTACTACTGGTTCAGCAAATCTGTGGGTGACAAAGGCTCATGGAAGTAGCACCGCTTCTTCTCTCAATAATGAAGCTCAAGGGACCAAGACACCTCCAGGTATATCTGCAAGGGGGTCAGAATTGTTGGCCTTTCCTGGATTTCCTATATAAAGCACGACCCCTGATATGTAGGGTATCCGAGGTCCCCTGACAAATTTCCGCCTCAATGTGGAGAAGTAGCTGACCATCCCAAAGCCTTAATTGTGGCTGCATTCTTGACTCCTTATAGGGGGGGTTATATGGGGGATTGTATAGACTATTATAGGGGCTATTATGAGGGATACTAGGAGGTTGGACTAATTACATGTTTAGCTGCATCTGTTAATTTCCCTGCACATCATGCATTAGAAATTTGGTGCATTGCATTTAACGCAAAGCAGCAGAAGCAACTTTCTCCCATCACCCCGGGAGCTCTCTACATGATCCCAAAACTACATGCACGTCAGAATGACAGACAGTGTGGCTTGTCAACTGCCATGTGACCACATGCCTTCCTGCGCAACCCGAACTCTGAATCCTGAACCTGCTGGGTGGCTGTTCAGCAACTTGAACTAAGTTGCCATTCCAAGTACGCCATACTCTGTACATGTTATGGCAACTTCCTAGACCCTCCATCTACCCTCTATATATCCTAAGTAGGGACCAAAAACCCCGATTTAAAAGGGCTATATCCCCTAAATACGGACCATATACCCCTTTTTAAAGGGCATAAAAAGTTCTCGCAGCAACCCATCTAAGGCCATGGCAGAAGACGAGCAACCAGCGAGGCCGTGCCAGGAAGGGTTCAGGCTTAGTGGGAATTCGGGGTTTGGGTCTAGGGTTTAGGGCTGAGGGTTTGGGGTTTAGGATTTCGGGCTTAACTTTAGGGTTAAGGGGTTTGGGTTTAGGTTGTAGGGGTTTGGGTTTAGGGTTTAAGTTTTAGGGGTTTGGCTTCAGAAGGTTGAGGTTTGAGGGGTTGGGGTTTAGGGTCTAGTGTAGGAGTTGGGCTTTGTGTTTCGGAAGTGCTCGAAAATTCGAAAATGTTTTCTGTTGTAGCCGGACCACGGATAAGGATGTTGCCCTGGTTTGGAATGTCGCGTCGTAGGATTTCTTCGATTTTGCCATTCAGAGGCCCAATAGTTAAATGAGACGCCCGACTCAGATTCACTTCTCATGGACGCTTGTCAGTTGTAGGAAGGCTGATGTCTGATTCCAGTTTGAAGGTTCTGGATCCGGAGCCTGATTGTAGGGTGGTCAAAATGGACAGGATGAATTAGATGTTCAAAGCAGTGTTTGTGCCAATCCCGGCCAATCAGGGGACATGTTGGAGCTGGATCCCAATTTCCTAAACCATGAGACCATGGTTGAAATCAAGAAGACAGGTAAGCAACATCGCCACACTTGCCATGTTCGGGATGGTAGGCAAACAAGATGTTACTGAGCTTCCGATGGGGCACACAGTCTTCGGTTCAGGGTGCTGTCCAGGGTGCTTTTGCTATTTAGTGTCTTTGCTGGTATATTTGGCCAAAGGAGTTGTATTTTATTTGAGCTCCACCACCAAAGACATTGTCGAGACCATTCGAGACCCTTTTTGTATAAAGACATAACAATGATATACGTAAAAAAGAAACCTCGCAGACTTGCTCCAGAAGCCCAGAAAAGTGTTGGATTATCTGTTGAAGCTTGTGACAAGTACGATGCGAGCTGCGAGAATTTCACGCCGCAAATTATATCAGAATTCACCCTACTAATAACCCTCTCAGTGAGTGCTTATAAGACATTGTGGAATTGCTAAAAAACTTAGGACCCTACATCAGCCTTTCTTTGACTCCAGGCTGACCAATGCCCCGCAGGACCGGGGGAGCCTCCTGCGACTGGTATGCATTTTGGGAGAATGGAAAAGAAAAGGGGT